AGCTAATTGCCACTGAAGTAGCTCCCATCACCATATTCATCTGTTCTGTGACAGCAATGGAAATAAATTCTAGATGGTGTATGCAGTCATGAACCGAAGGGGTCATGTTCATTTTTCCCACTTTAAGACTGTGACCGCTAAATACTTCTGAATATTATTATAGTAATCTTCACCTTGGGAGGGCAAGTTGCTGACTTTTCAAGAAAAAATGCTATGTTTTATGCTTCTGCATCAGTTGAAATCCTTAAAATCAAGAATGGACACCTGCCTACATATTATACCCAAGTAATGCAGCAACCCTATTTGCAGAAAATGATATATATGGCTCCACTTCTGTTAGCTACCTGAAAGGTCATTCATCTTCTCTAACAGTCCTGCACAATGTGTGCACTGCTAACCTGACTGTAGCCTGGAAGCTGTGTGAACAGTGGCCCACAATCAGAGATCTGAAGCTGCAAAAAGACATATCCTTTCAGAATTTGATTCCCTGGTTTGTTTTCTGATTATGAAACAAATCTGAGATTGTCAGAAACTTCTTCTGACAGTAAACAATCAAGTCTTCAAAAAGGTGCCAGTCCTTCTGTCTGTTTCAAAGTCACTTTAATCATGAACATGTTGATTATGTCAGGAGATCTGTCTATTATGTCAGAATGGTGGAGATTGATGTGATCTGATGCAAAAGGCTTTAGTAAGAAGACAACTCTAAACTGCTGATGCAGTTATTGTTCTTTCATATGCTAATCAGAGAACAGCAAATAAAAATACTTCATACCACATCCTTCCTGGAATCAAGGGGTGAAGCTGAGCACTTTGTTTTGGAGTGTGCTGTGGACTCTTAGATTGTAAGCCTGAGGACAGAGATTCCCTTGCTTTCCTTGATCTGTAAACTGTTCTGGGAGCCTTTCTGGCTGAAGAATGGACCATAAATGCTTTAAATTAATATCTAGGAATCTAAGGATATAAATGGGTGATAAGTTTGCTGGGTTGCAGGTTATGTAGGCTATAATGTTGGAAACTTGAGTCAAGTGACTTGCTTCCAAGTTCAACTCAAGGTGCGTCTGCAATTCGACTTAGACTCACTTTGGGAGCAACAAGCGAGTTACTTGACTCAATCCGACTTGAGGTTTCTACATTTTTTACAACCAAGTCGCTCCAGGGCTTACTGTGCAGCAGGGTATCCTGGAAGGCAGGCATGAACACAGCAGGCAGTGGGTGGGTGGGAGGGAGTTTCAAGGGGTGGGGGCAAGATAGGGGGAAGGCAAGACTTCAGCTTTTCTTTTCAGCATGAGGGAGGGGTAGGATGGGGAGAGTTTCAAGTATGGGCAGGATGGGGATGTTATTTATTTGTTTAAATAAACCATGGTTAAAGTAAATGACTTCAATGCATCACTGCACATGGGAGCATTGGGGGATTTACAACTCTCCCAGCCCCTTACAGAACCCATCCACCACATCCCTTTTTCTGTTAAACTTGGCTCTTGACACTTGAGAAGAGACTTAAGACTTGACTCAAAAATTTCTTGCAATGACTTGAGACTCAACTTGGACTTGAAAGTAAAGACTTGAGACTTGGAGTAAAGGATTTGAACACATGATTGGTATGCTGTTTCTAAAACATTATGGAAACCGGTCCAATACACTTCTAGTTCACCCAAGTGTAATTGTTGGAGTGAAATTATTTGGGTCACTTCATGTACAATGCATTGGTGCGTGACCCCCTCCCCCTTCCTCAGAGTACCCGTGTCTGCTGATCATGCAGTTTGCTGTACTGCAGACTTGTGCTCCACACAATAACAACCGCACTCTTTTCATGATCTAATAGGCTGCACTTAGGAGAATAGGGATAACAGAAAGCTAATTCATGCCAGACCTGCTCCAGAGAGGTGGATGGTAGCCCTCAGGACAGATTGCAGGGATGTGTGTGCCTGTATACATATTATAAATTGGGAAGCTTAGCTAAGCCATATTGTCACTGTCTTCTGGCCATCCAAAGTGTGGTTTTGGCTAGTTGGTTCTGAGTATGAACCAAAGTTTATTTAATGCTTAAACAGAAGACCTATTATATTATTTCAGTACTGGACTTGACTTCTTTTGGCGGAGTTAGTAAGTTATTATAGGCCATGGTTGAATGAGAATGTGTGTGCTACTTGTTAAATGATATTTTAACTAATTTTCCAGTATGCTACTTCTGATTAAACTGTACACAGAGATTCCTGACAATTTCTCTGTGCATCTCATGCACACCCTCTTGCAATCCTGGAAACATTTTCATATAATTAAGGGAAATAAAAGAATGATATCTTTCAAGAAATATTTGGAGACCACTGCATACAATAATCTTGACTTTAGAATCCCACATGTCACATAATCCTATGATTGTGTCTCAATCTAGGCTAATCCCAATAAGTAGAATTTCATAGCTACATAAAAACCTTATTTAGAAATCTAAGGCAATATAATTTGGTGCCATTAATAATTAGTTGTCATCAAGAAAATTTAAAAAGCAATCATGGAAAATTATTCCTATAATATATTCGGCATTGCCTGGGCTCCTCCATGAGGACTAGGCTTTCCTGTCTGTTATTTACATACAGCTTCTATTAATGTTATATCCTGCATTTTCTCCAAGGCACACAGAATAGTATTTTTAACCTCACATGAAGTAGTTCCTTGCTTAAGGTCACTAAGGAGTCTGGATCTGTTGTTGTTTATTCCAGGCTCCACAGTCTAGCTGAAATATAACACTGACTTTTACTTCTAAAGGATTAAATTGTGAGGAGAACCACAGAACTGCAGTGGGCTTTCTGCAGCCCTTCATTTAGCCTTCTGGTCATCCACGCAGTCTTGTCAGCTGCTTCCTAGTCTGCAGGATGTGGCATTTGAACTGCATGGACCAGATGATTGCCCATTTGACTTAACTGGATCCCAGAACAGAAATAAACATGGAGACAATGTGTAGATCCCAGACGATGTGTGCTTTTGTGTGGGTGGATTTGGTTGATTGATAGGACAAGTTGTGTTTCAGGTTTGTCCTGCTACAGTTCTGCACCTCTCCACATAATAACACCTGCTATATGCAATTTCTTTTTAGGAGGTGCTTTTTGAACAGAGGATCATGGTAATTCCTACCCTTTTTATTAGTATTTTCAGTAGTGTTATCAGGTGCCTTTAAATGTCTCAATGCAGCAAGGGATTTATTTATGTATGAGATTTCTATCCCACCATTTTTCTCACAAACAACCCCAAGTGGCTTACAGAAGTATACTCCTCCTGCTCACAATCTTATCCCCACAACAATCCTGTGAGGTAGGCTGGGCTGAGAGTCTGTGACTGGCTCAAAGGCACCCTGTTGGCTCCATGGCTGAGCAGAGACTAGAACCCAAATCTCCTGAGTCCCAGTCCCGTACTCTTAACCACTATACCACGCTGGCTCCCTGGATTGTATAGGAGATATTCCTCTTGCCTTTTTAAATTTCCTCTCTTTCATCAACCCTTTGGTTCACCATCCCTTAGGGCCAAACTATAGGTCTTCATGATAGTGCATTTTTAAAAAGCCTGTTTAACCTGACATTTTTATTTAGAAGTAAAAGCAGGCATGGTGCCCTCATTTTGATACATGCTGTTGATTTGTACTGGGGCCCTTTGCTACTTTAGAGCTGCCCATTCCCACCTGAGCTACTGACTGATCCTGAAGGTGCTCTTCACAGTGAACAGCACTTTTCAGGAAGAATAAAAGTGGGGGAAGATTTTCAGAAGGAAATTTGGACTGGGGCAAATTGTAGGCTAGAACCCTGAGGTTGCTTTTTCTGCAAACTAAAGCACAGTTTAAACACACTTGAAGTATTTAGTGTCACCCTGTTTCTGTCTTTCCATACCTGGTGCCCTGCTACTTTGCCAGCCTCACCATGCTGACTGGGGATGCTGGGAGTTCCAGTCTGAAATGGAGAGAGTGCCATATTGGAAAAGCCTGGCCTGCTTGTTCCAGGACAAAAGGAGTCCAGCTCCTGATGGCACAAGGGTGGAGGAAGAGCAGGGGCGACAAATCAGCCACTTACTTTCTCACTGTCTTCAGGCTTTCACAGGGAAAAGCAAGGACATGGGAACTTTTTTTTTAATGTCTTATAAAAGGGACCTTCCCATCATATTACTTCAGTGCTAGAATTTCTATGAGAACTAGTAGCAGTGTGACTTAGCTATGAATTAGGAAGTCCATAGTTTGGATCTTATCTGTGTCGTGAACTGCAGGCAGGTCTGGTACTATTCTCTCAGTTTTAGCCTTTTCATTAGTAGTGTGGGGCTAATAATAATAATACTGATCCCATAGGACCATTGTAAAGACCACAAATATGATATATGTGAAGCACTTTGAACAACCAAAATAATACATAAATGCTTTGCATTACTGAATTTGTTCTCAGGATTAGCACTTTTGAAGGAAAAGAAACCACTATTACACTTATTTTAAAAATGACATTTACATTGCAACTTTAGCTTGACATTCCTATTTGCTGCAACTGCCAGGCTATACTAATTCAACATGTTATCATTATTTTTCATATAATGAAGATATTAATATATTAGTGCTTTACAGTAGCTACCATGGGAGTGAGCAATTAAGGGAAAACTACACAGGCAGTTTTGATATGAGATATGCAAGCAAAGCTTTGTCGTGACATATATCCCTAATTAAAATTTCCTGCTCCATTTTCTGACTATATCACATAAACAATATAGATTAAACAAGCAGGGGATGACTCTATCTCTTTTCATATACATTGTGTTAAGGAGTATGCATAGATTTGCAAGTCATAGGGATCAGACCTTGACTGATACCTATAATGTAGGGCACTTGCCTGTCAACTACATTCTTTCTGGACACAGGTCCCATAATACTTTGCTCAAATAATATTGTCAGAGCTATTAGGTTCAAGTGCCCCATACCCAAACTTTGTGTGTGCAACTGGATTGCAAAACTGCATGTAAGATATATGTTCACCTACCGTAATGGCTGCCAACCTACAGTCTGGCAAGGAATTTATCATCTAGTCTCCAGAGTCCAGGAAAATAAAGTGATCACTGAGTCATTCTCTTACCCCTAGGGCATGCCTGTCTGATACTTTTTTGGACGGGCCACATGGTCTCAGTCTGGATTAATTTCATGTCCATCTTCACAGCCCATATTTATTTATTTAAAAACAACAATAGGACAAGAATGGAAAGCTGCGTCGGAACAACCTATCGCATGATGCCAGTGAAACAATTTTCCATACCGCTGTGTATCTTCTTTTTCAACATGCTTCAGACCTTCAGTCTCCCACAATGGTATTCGCAGTGTAATTTGAAGCATGAGGACAGTGTGGATGCCAGATGTATTATCTAGGGCTACATTAGCAATCTAACTTGCTTCTCTAAATTACTAAAAATAACATTGACCTCAGCGATCATTAATGGCAATGTCTTTATCACATGAGATCACTGAAATATAGATGTGAGTTAGGTTAAAAGAAATGTTCAAATTTATAATATAATTTTTTCACACCCACTTCAGAGTACTCTTTCCCTTTGAGTATAGAACAGATTAGAAGCAGGCTGATTTCCTCATTCTGTTCTATTTTTGTAGCATGTGGTAGGTACCAAGAATATTTGAGAATGAGCATTCATGGAGAGGTTCTTCATGTCACTTTATAATATGGGTAGTGGAAGAGATATATGTAGAAAATTCAAGTGTTTCTTCTTGTTTGGAATATTTTCATGCAGTAAAATTTTCTGAATCTGAGTATGTTAGAAGTGTTTATGGAACCTGTAGAGGGGGAAACACACCTTTGGTAAAGCTAAGGAAAAGGCAAACTATTCTTTGCAATCACATCGGCAGGGGAACAAATCTTTTCAGCCTTCCATTGCATTGAAACCTTTTAACAATTAATGTTACAGTGCTATGATAATGAGTAAAAATAGGCTGAGATTCTACACATTCATTTTAAGGCGCTTTGTTTTCTTCTCAGAGTGGTTGGCTTAACCTGTCAGCAATCCATATCCTCATTAATTAGTAAGATAGGCTATTTTTCTCTCTTGATCCTTGGCTCTATTTAGGAAAAAAAATGGCTGGAAAACCAAGCTGACTCTTTATGTAGCTACAAATAGAAGTGCCAGTTGCACATAATCCATACACAAACACTTCTTGCATTCATTTACCAAATATGGTTGTGTGACTAGGACTTGTGTGTCTTTCTCTGATAACCTTTGTTGTTCTCAAGGATACTGATGAGTTCGCTGATGGATACTTTTAATGAACAATTTTTACCATGTAAGACTGAAAATTAACACTGGATTGGAAGTATAATTCCATTTTGTAGTTCTCAGTAGGTTTCCCTGAAAGAGTTCACCACCAAGTTTTTAATTACAACAAACACTTCCTTTAAATTTTATTCAGCTATATACAGTTTTGTAACCATTTAGCAACTGGTAATAACTAACTGTATTTTTATTTAACCCTATTAGACATTGTGTACTTTTATTAGTTGCATAGAATAGGCAAATTTCCTGTTTAAATATTTCATTTATCCATGGTTTCTGCATGAATGAATAAATTAGAACAGATAATGTACAGAAGTGTTTTATGTCAGAACTAAAGATACACCAAACATAATGCTCATTCTAAATGAATATGATATTCTGAAATGTTTGTTGCACAGTGTAAATCTTCCCAAGTGTGAGTTCTAAAAACAAATCTTCTCCTTCTCCTTGGCCATTCTTTCCTCAGTGCAAACAGCTTTGTTTCATTTCCATACATTCTTTTCTCCCTTATAGTAAATCCTAGATTTCAGTAGCTTATTTATCACATCTATAATAAATGCAACCAAAGGTGAGTTATATAATCCTCCTCCTCCTCCTCCTCCTCCTCCTCCTCCTCCTCCTCATTTTATCCTCACAACAATCCTGTGAGATAGGTTAGGCCAAGAGCAGTGACTGGCCCAAAGTCACCCAGTCAGCTCCATGACCAAGCAGGGACTCGAACCTGGATTTCTCGAGTCCTCATCTGTCACTCTAACCACTATATCTCAGTAGCTCATAAGTGGTTGTGTATCTGGTTATGCAAATGTAAGATTGGTGGAGTTCCACTACCACTATTTGAACTGTGGAGTGGCTCTGCTGGATACTACTTTTAGTCTTTTTCTTTTCTGATTCCTTCTTTTTGTATACAGACATCTGTCATGATCTGAAGACATTGCTTACTCAGTTTGTGCCTAAATCTGACAATGATGCCATCGTGCTTTTTCAGCAATACCAACTTATAAATCAAAGGTTGAATTCCTGCTCCATTTAAAATCAGTGCCAAACATAGTTGGCTTCTGTATTACCCGAGATATTGAATTTTATAATGCTCTTTGTGTACAAAAAGCACCCCCAACTTTTGTCTTCAAAAAAGGTACATTGTTACATTTACTACAGACTGCCAGGTATGCATGTGAACTAGAATAAACTTGCTCTTTGACTTCAGCTATACAGCTATAACTCCTTTCTGTTGAAATGGCCACAGAAATCACGACTGAATTAAAATAAAGCAAATCCCATCAGTGGAATAACTTTAATTTAAGATGAAAATTATCTCAAGTATTTCTAGAATGCTTTTAGCACAGCACTCTGAAGAGGGAAAGGAAGCTGGAGAATGATTGATAATCTCATGTGGTTTCATGGTTAAATAAGTTCAAATCATAAAGGGAATTTGTAAAACACTTTGACACTGAAAAGTGCTATTCAGCCTGATCTAATCCAAATTTACTTTGAACTAAATCCAGCAGGGTTGAGTCCAGACTTTTCTATCAGTGGAAGAGCTCACGTTTACCAAGGAAACCAGCATCCAATGGGAACTTTCCAAATTTTCACCAATTCCCCTCTCCCCCCACAAATCTCCGACCACCTTCCCATGCTGTTCCAGATCATTCCTGTGTCTCCCCCAGAGCAGTAAAGGAGGGATTACTGAAAAGTACCTTTTTTTCACAGCTAGAGGAATCTGCTGGGTGCAAGTCTAGATCTTTATTCAGTGAGTTTCATCCCCACTGGATTGCAGTAGTAGAGAACATCATACAGGACTTCCCTGATATTATTTTCCAGTTTAGCAGACATACATTTTAATTCTGCATTATAGAGTAATAGCAGTGCACCTGGAGGAAATATCAGAATGAACTCAAAAGTATTACCTGACACCCTCATATTTTATGCTTTTGTTTAGATCTTTTCCTTTGTGGAAGTGCGTAGAGTCAGAATATCTATTTCAGCCCCTGCATACACAACCTCCTTGTGTTCAACAGAGCATAAGCAAGGTATTTAGGCTGAGATGTTTGGAAACAAACAAAAACACTTTGCCTAGCAATTTGTAGCCCAACAACACTCAGAAATAATCTGCATGCTTATCCATATCAACATATTCTAAGCTTATCACCAGAAGAATGCTTACTTGGAAGCAAATCTAGCTAAAATCATTGCAGCTTATTCTACAATAAATGGTTCTATGTTTCTGGTTGCAATGTACATTGTAAAGCAATCTGGAGTCAAGCCAACAGGGAGCAAAGCAGCGGATGTGCTGCCTTGTCCCAGGGGCAAAAGGGAGGGGGTATTTTTTCACTGGAGATGCAGGTTTTGTGAAACATGTTAAAGGAGAGTGTAGACACCTATGCCAGCTCCAGAGTAGTGCTTGTGAGGGGCTCAATCCTGTGTCCCTGATGGAGAATGATTGATTGATTGATTTCTCACCTGCCCCATCAGCTGTATGGCTCCCTGGGTGAGTTACAACAACAAAAAGAGGAGCTTTGCACCTGGCAGATTCCAGCTGCTTCTTCCCCACTCCAGAATACCCTGTTTCAGGATTCCCCATCAGCTGCTACCCACAAGAACACCACCAGCTGTACAACTATACCTGTGGAACTCTGTGAGTATAACAGGGGCTCCACCTTTGCTGAGCTAGACCTGTGTGTCTGAATTTATTATTATTATTATTATTATTATTATTATTATTATTATTATTATTATTTTACCCTATTGGTTTGAAAGTGCTTTTAATTCATAAAGATTCTTTTTAAATCATAAAAATATCACAACCACCATGTGAGATATGTGAGTATTTCCAGTTTTCTTGTGGGGTACATTGTTTGAGGGATGCTTTTTCTTTTGATTGCCAACATAGATAGTGTTGTGCACTGAAATAGTTCCCTGAGTACGTCAAGGGGCAATGGACCCCTTTCACTTCTAACTGGATAAGCTCTTAGCTACCTAAATGCACGATTAGAGGGAATGCTTCTTTCAACATTTTGTTTGCAGACAAGTGCCTTTTGTGTAGAGTTAAAATTCCTGTCATCTTCCAAGTGATCAGGAAGATGAGGACAGTTGCTTTCATGAACAGCTGTGGAAGCTAGTGTTTCCATATCTTTTATGCAAGTTCCAGATAACAGTCTCTTATTGGTTGATGGTATCAAGATAATTTCCAATATCATTACAGTCTGGCAGCAACAGATTTTCTGCAAATACTTGCATTTAATTGAACTCTATTTAGTTTATATTGCAGCATTTGTTTTGGATGCTATCCTCTTGAGATTTGACCAATTTAAAAAGTTATAATTACTCTGTTAATGAATGAAACATTCCTTTAGTCACAAAAATAAGGGCTGTATCCCAAGTGGCATGGGCTACCTTTTGTTGGTGTTTATATATGTATAGGGAGGAAGCTCAGTGATACCCATTGTGAGCAGTCCACAAATCACTGTACATCTGCATCTCCAGTCATTCCATTCTTCTTTGTGGTCTCCATGCAATCACACACATGGGCTATGCACAGATCTTACGGCTGGGAGGTAAATAAAGGGAAATATGCTCTCCATTTATTTTCTAGTTTTGTAGATAATTCCCTGCTGAAATAATTGCCCAAATTTCCAAAAGAGTTAAAAAAACAAGAACAGAACAAAAGGAAAAAAACAAAAAACAAAACCAGTGGTGGCAAGATAGAACAGATCCAATGGGCTTTCCCCTCATTGTGGCCCCATTCACTCTGGCCCATTTAGCCATCTTCTCAAGGTTTTAGGATAGCTATAAGGGAACTGCTGTGATGTTCTGCAAAGGAACTGCTAAAAGA